CCTGAGGCTCTTCACAGAGCGCTCAGGCGGCTGCAGCATTTAAAGGGCCGGCCCTGCAGCGGCCGGTCCCAACAGATTTTAGGGCGGCCTGGGGGGCAATTGCCTCCCTGCCCCCCGGCCCAGCCCGCCCCTGGGAGTAGGGATGGTTAACTACCAAAAGTTAAACTTAGATCCTAAGCACAGTTGCACTTAATGTGTAAAAATGATAAGCAAACCTATTAAGAAAATGGGGGTCTTTATATTTATTCATAGAGGATATGTAAAAACAAACAAAAAACACATTAGTTTTGTTCAGAAGTTGTATATGTCTCTGTCCATAAGGAGTTAAATATGTAATTTAATATTTGCATACAGGTCAATTTAAAAGTAAAAGGAATGCTTATTTTTGGACCGAAGAGTAACATGAGAACAAGCAAAATGTAGTGAATACAGAACACCAATTTTCCCACAAAAACAAACGCTGTCTGAGCAACCTTTTAGAAGTGCAGAGCACTTCTTATAAAAGGATTATTTTCGTTAATTATACAGCAATTGCTTTTTTATATTAAACTTGTTTTTACAAGCACTGTGTTTTTGCTTACTTGTATCTTTTTCCATTGAAAATAATCCTTCACTGCAACTTAAAAGGGAAATGAAACACATTTTGGGTGCACTTACATATTCTGTATATTTTCACTATTTATCTTCAGTATTTAAATTTTTTTACATTTTGCGCTGTAAGTTCGCTTTCTCAACGTGCAGCACTTCGCTTTTTGCACTAACAATACAGCACAATACAGTATTTATAGTGAACTATCTTGAAAGGCTGCAAAGGTTTCTGGAAGTTGGAGAGACGCTGAAAGCTGCTAAGCAGACTACAACTCCAAGAAATGTGCACGTGTACATAAGTGTATATAAAAAAAAATAAAAAATATGAAAACTAATTAACAAGATACTTACCAGTGGCACAAATGATTGTTCCTCAAGTCTCTTTTATGCAAAAAGTATAAAATAGTATAGAAGAGATACAGTACATTGCATATACACTAGATAATGCAAACTAAACAACCATCTCCAGAATCCTATTCATAAAAATACTCACAGCATAAACAGGGAAAACTGGGTCCATGGCAGTGGACTTAAAAGGCCTGGAACATGCTACACTGAGAACATATCCACAGTCTGGATGGTGCCAGAAACCTCTGTGTTGCCCTAAAAGCATGGTGCGGTAATTTAGAGGATTACCGCAACCTTGTCTTAGAATGTTTATAGGACACTTTGATTGGTTCAGTCACTGCCTGGTCTGAGAAGAGTTTACTTAAGAAGCTGTGTTAAAAGCAACATTTAAGTGACTTGCACCCCTTATAAAGAGTAAAAACAAAATTTTCCAGGTGCTGGCTCAGCCCCCAGATACACCTCTTTGGCTGACATAATCAGAATTCATAATCTCAGCCAATCCAATGCTTTCCAATAGGGAAAACATTGGATTGGCTAAGATCGCCAAAAAGCCAGGCCAAATGCCAGCCTGGCTAATCAATAATTCCTCAATCAATGCATCTCTACGAGGAAAGCTCAGAGTTCTCCATGCAGAGCATGTTCCTAGGCTTTAATGCAAACACTGCTTTTTCTTTGGAAAAAGTGGTGTTCGCATGGCAATGCCTGCTGGGACTGATTATGGTCACCATAACAAATACAGTAAGCTAGAAAATAATTATCAGAATATAACTCCAACTGAAAGTATGTATGCATTTATTTCATTGGGAGTATATCTTAAAACATGTCATTACTGCAAATTTATATATTTAGACAGGGTCACAAGACTCCTGGGTATTTTTTCTTGTAGCATCATGGTGTGGGTTTAACAAAAATAATAACATTAGGGTAAATACTTACACAGATTTTGTGCAGTCTTTGAATCTAGTACTTTGAGTTCCTTTGCCTTTTTTTTGCCAACAGATTTTTTGTCATTACTGCCATCCTGGTCTTTTTTCACTGTAAAGTAGAAAAAAAAGAAAGTTCAAGGTTAAGGTTTATATAATGTCATTGTATTCCACTATTGATTTATAAAAATGAAAATAGCCTATAACTTAAAGTGGCACTCCAAACACTACATAACTGTTTTGAATTAGTCTTGTTGCAAGGCCCCCCCTGGGGGGTGTGGTGTGGGTGTGTGTGTGTGTGTACATACATACATACATACATAATATATATATATATATATATATATATATATATATATATTTATATTATTGCCAGAGGTGTACCTTCACCTCCTGCAGTGTCATTAACCAGCTTGGAAAGAGAGTTCCAGTCAGACTCATCAGTTCGGAGCAGAAAACGCTCGGATGATGCTCTTATTCAATAAACGACCGTCATTTGACTTTTCTAGCTCTGCAGAAGCTGGAAGACATTTAGCCAGCACGAGGATAGACTTTGTGTCAGGGAAACACATGTAAGGTGGTAACCGTTGCACAGTGTTTGCCCTCTTGCCGACGAATGACAACTACAGTGGTTATGGAGTAACTAATATTTTTTCATGTGATATTCTGTGGACTCTCTGTTCACCTAAGCTGGGTACATGTCTCTCACAAGACTATGATCACAATGGACTAACCCTCCAGCCCATGACTACCAGCCCTGAAGCAGCCTTTCAATAGCCAACGGCCGCTGAGACATTGTGCGCTGACCAGAGGCAAACCCTAAACTGTAATGGAACGCTAAGGCAGATCGCAGAGTCACCAAAGTTTAACAGAGGGGGTGGTGAGGCATTGAATGGCACAAAGGACTTGGGGGTGTTTCATGTAACCAAAGAAAGCGCTGTGTTTTTAGGTGAACGGGGAACTCTACCCAGAACTCTGGAACTCTGTGCCGATCAGAGGCTAGCCACATCCCGCTGAATTTTGGAACCATCTAAACCGGGCTAGCGAAATACGATCTGGGCTCCAGAGAGACCTTTCCGGGCATATATGACATGTGGGGGTGCTCGGTAATATTGTGTATGTTTGGGGGTGTTTTTTGTATTGCACTTTGTGTCCAGGAGATAATTAGTTAAACCGAGAGTTGACTAATTTATGGGCATGCTTGTGTTACAATAAATGGAGACCCCATCTCAGAAGTCTGAGTATAAATTCTTGTACTTTGCTCAATAAAATCAGTTGATTTTCATCCTTCATTAAGTCTTGGCTAGTGCTTGGGTGAGACAATGGTACATCCTGCAGGAGAGCCTAATCACTCTTGAGCTCTTACACCAAGAGAAGGGACAACCTAGGCGGTAGTAACACAGCTACTTGTGGGTATACCGCCACATATTCCATTTTCTTTTAACGTTGTATAAGAGATATAGCATTTGACATAACAATTCAGCTCATAAAATTAGAGCCAGGTGACAAATTGCTAATAAGGAGAAATAGAAACATTGCTTAATTTCTCCTCTTCTCTATTTTTTTTATTCTGACTGCCCGATGCACAGAACAAAGCCAAAGATGGAGGGCATCCAGTTGTAGGATAAAGTAGTATGGCTTTTTACATTTATTTTTTCATGCAACACATTTATTACATATAAATAAAATCAAATGGAAAATGACAGTTCCCTTTTAATCTAGTAAATTATACCTAACCACCTACTAATTGCCAGATACTACGAAACCTGGTTAAAGCAGTGGATCAGAGGATCCCAGAACTACCCATTTAATAGTTGCAATAAGAGTGTTAGTATGAGCTGGAAGGATGGAATACGAGAGAAGCAGAACAAAGATGAGGGACATAGCTACATATCTCAATGTGTTCCCACATATATCACTGCTTCCGGGAGTCAGCAATGAAAGGTCAAAGCTCTGGAGCAATAAAAAGGAGTCTTGGGTGGATGCCCCAAGTGATGGTATTACGAGTATTCTGGCTGGGGTTGGGGGCCAATCATGTAAAGCAAGCATTTCAAACATGCGGCCCCGTAAGTATCTTTGCCGGAATGGCCTAACAGGACATTTGCCCTGCGGTCGCTTTGTGCTGTAGCCCTCCTGCGGCTGATCGCGTACTCCTGTGATCCGCCGGCAGCTGCAAAAACACAAAGGATTCTTCCACGCCGGCCGGATATGCGCATACAGCAAATGAAGTCAAATCTGGCTGCTGCACTACAGTGCACAGACTGGCTGGCTGCGTGCCCCCTTCCCTGCTGCTTGCAGTGTCAGAGGAGCGTGTGGCCTGCTTGAGCAGACAAGATTGTGCAGAGCTGGACTGGAAGACAGGAGACGACTTAAGGTAGGGGAAGAGGGGCTTGGGCAAACCTTCCTATAGTGTAGAAAATGGGAAGGGGGGCGGAGGGGCAGTGTATTAAATTGGGGAGAGGGAGAGAGGGCAGTGTGAAATTGTGGGGAGGTGGGGCAGTGTATTCTAGTGAAGGGAGCAGTGTATTAAATTGGGGGGGAGGGGAGCAGTGTATTATGTAAGAGTGGAGGGACAGCAGGCAGTGTTTTAGATTGGAGGAGGGAGTGGGGGCAGTGTATTAAACTGGGGGGAGGGGACAGTGTATTAGAGTGGGGGAAGGGTGGAGACAGGGTCGCGGGAGGCTGTGTATTAGATAGAGGGGGCCATAGTAACTTGAAGTGAAACAACTTGGTCCGGTGTTTTGAACCACTTTGAAATCCGCCAGGAGAGGGCTTTTTAGAGGGAAGGTGTTTGAGACTAAAGGGAACAAACGTTACCTGAGAGCCAGGCAGAGCACTCCGTAATGCGGCCACAGGAGCTCCCGAAAGTTGACCGACAAAAGCACCCACGCCCTGGAACAATTTTGGGCATAGGACCATATGTGCGGCCAGTGAGAACTTTAAAATGGCGGCAGCACTAAAATAAGTTACCCCCCTGCAGAAAAAAAGATAAGTGAACAGGAGGGTGACTGCAAATATAATTGTGTCTGTATATCAGTGAGTGTATCTATCAGTGTGTGTGTGTCAATATGTGTATCATTGTGCCGATGTGTATCTGTGTGTCAGTGTGTATGTATCTGCCAGTGTGTGCATCTGTATGTCAAGGTGTGTATATCTGTGTTTGTATGTGCAAGTGTGTGTATTTGTGTTAAGGTGCATGTCTGTGTGTCAAGGTGTGGCTATGACTGTGTCTGTGTGTTTGTTTGTTTGTTAATGTGTAAGTATGTATGTGACAGTACATGTACAAACATCCCAGCAATCAAACACCAACAGAACACACACTGCTGCAAACACAAACATGACATACAAAAACACTCATGAACTCTAACTCTAAAATTGTATACAAACACTCAAACACCAATAGTACACACAAATGTACACCTGCATTTAAAAATCCAACACTACATCCAAACACACCTCTGCACGCAAATGCAAAAATTACATACAAACACATGTATTAAAATGCTAAAATTATATACAAACACCAACTCTACAAGCACACCTGCTCCTAAGTACCGCAATATGTTTACCATCTGTAGAAAAGAGTATATATAGCACAAAAAAAAAAAAAAAAATGGGA